ATAGAATAGAATAGAATAGAATAGAATATGAATTTAGGATAGGATAGAATATGTTTAGAAAAATAGAATATGAATTTAGAAGAGAATAGAGTGGAGTAGAATGGTATAGAATATGAATTTAGAGTAGAGTATAAGTTTAGAAGAGAATAGAGTAGAATATAATATGAATTTAGAATAGAGTCGAGTAGAATAGAATATGAATTTAGAAGAGAATAGAGTGGAGTAGAATGGTATAGAATATGAATTTAGAGTAGAGTATAAGTTTAGAAGAGAATAGAGTAGAATAGAATATGAATTTAGAATAGAGTCGAGTAGAATAGAATATGAATTTAGAAGACAACTTTATTGTCATTTTAAATGTACACTAATCAGCATACATTAAAACGAAATTTCGTTGCATTCAGCTCTCAAAAGACAAGCCTTATGCATACGAACATACACATACACACACATAATATGACACAGAGAAACATCACAGTCTAGTTCGAATATATACATGGCGGGGGGAGGGGGAAGAATCCTGCAAATTTAAAAGACGGAACAAAGCCATTACAGAATCTATCAGTCCCACTACAGATGCTTCGTAACTTCCTCCCAGAGGGAAGAAACAGAAACAAGCCGTGAAGTTCTGTGGGCGTGGCTTGGTGGGCATGGCTTGGTGGGCGTGGCAGGGGAAGGTTACTGCAAAATCCCCATTCCCTCCCGATCAGCTGGGACTCGGGAGGCAGAGAATAGATGGGGGCGGGACCAGCCAGAGGTGGTATTTGCTGGTTCTCCGAACTACTCAAAACTTCCGCTACCGGTTCTCCAGAACTGGTCAGAACCTGCTGAATACCAACTCTGCCGGGAAGGTGATCGCGTACTGCTACAACCCACCCACCCCTCTTCCCCGTTTCTGCTTTCCTCTCCCCAGGCTTGTTGTAACCTCCTTTGAGAGCCCTTCTGAAGAGCCCCCCTTCTCTACCGGTTCGGACGTTGACCCTGTCCCACTGGAGGAGGAGGAGCAGGAGCAGGAGCAGGAGGAGAAAGAGGAGGAGCAGGAGGAGAAGGAGAAGGAGCAGGAGGGCCAGCCCAGCGCTCGCTTCCAACTTGGGGCCTCCTTTGACGAAGGTGTCATTGACTTGAAGTGAAGACAGCTGGGAACGGCCCCTCTTTGCACGCACTAGCCCCCTCCCCCCCCTCCGTTCTCTGCCATTGGCCCCCCCGCCCCAATTTTGTACAGCTCTCTTAAAACGGTATCCATCACAGCCAAAAGTCCTAGTAATGTTAGAAGTGATCACCGCATGCAGTCCAAGAGAGGAGCCCAGGGATCCAACTCGGGATGCCTGAATTGTCTCCGTCGATCGATTGATCGAACGAGAGGCCAGCTCCAGATGCCTGGATTGTTTCAGTCGATCGATTGATTGAACAAGAGGCCAGGGGTGTGGGTGCGTATGCGTGTGTATAGTCTTTTGGGTGACAAGAGAGCGGTCACCCAATTTTTTTGTGTTGTTGTTGTCGGAAAAAAATCTAGGTGAAGGATCGGAGGCGTTTTAATCAGTGAATTGATTAAACCTCTATATTTTCACATGGCACATGGATTTCGAGGAACAGACTGCTGACAGTTCTGGGGTGGGGCAAGTCCGAAGCGCCCCCTCCCTTCATGGCAACGACCAACAGTCATGTTCCCTTTCTCCATCAGCACTGGAGAATGGTGATGACCTTGGACAGGCGTGGAGATTGTCCCCAGATTAGGAGATCAGAATGGAAAGAATGGAGAAGCAGCGAGTCATTGCAATCTGCCCTACGAGGAAGATCCTAGAAGCATCTGGCTTGTTGCTGTAGGGCGTAGGCTGCTGTACCCGAACATCACAATCCCAAGGTGTATTAGTGTGTGGAGTTGCCTCTCCCACCCCTCCAAATCCTGCAGTTGACTGCCAAACTAATGGGATCAGAAGGGAGGGATTATTAGCAAACGATGGTCGAGTCCTCTTTACTCAGTCAAATGCTTTTGCACACTCAAAAGATTCGATTGTGCATTCTTGAAATAGCTTTTTGATCTGATCTGGGGGAGGGAAGAAATCTGGAATTCTTTAATTTAAAAAAGTGTGACAGAATAACAGAGTTGGAAGGGACCCTGGAGGTCTTCTAGTCCAACCCCTCCCCTGCTCAAACAGGAGAGCCTATCCCATATTTAGACAAACGGTTGTCCAATCTTGTCTTCAAATCTTCCAGGGGTGGGGCGCCCACAGTTGAATTCCCTTCCCCAGCCCCAAATATATAACTCCTGTCCACTTACCGACGGTTGCTTCTACTTAGGAAAAAATCTTCTCGAGGAACCTGATCCATTGCACACACAAACCTGAGAGTTCTTTTAAACCATAAGCTTTTCCTCTTTGGTTGCAACAGATAGGAAGAAGAGAGCTGTCTTAAGCTGAATGTCTGTTCTTCCCCTTCCTGCTTCATTTTGATTCATGGATAAATGTTTCTCTATCCCCACATTTCTGCCAAGTAGAAAGAAGAGGTTAGATAGAGCATAAAGCTGTTCCTTTATCCATCTCCGAAAAATACTGCAATCCATCTCTTAGGATGAGTGGTTTTTCCTAGCGACTATGAATTGGCCAAAGAGTTTAAACTTCAAGGTGGCCACTGTGATAAGAGCTGCCACTGGGACCCAGTAACCAGCTTTTAGCTTTTTCAAAAGAGACAAAGAAATCTTGCAAGAGACACCATATCTCCAGGGTATGGGCACTTGTTCTGACCCCAGCAGCACAAAACCGGGTCCCCGTCCCAATAAACCCCTTTTATTTCATTGACAGTGAATTCCTCTCCAGCAAAGTCCTTCCTCTTCCCACAGTCTTTCAAGATAGTTCACAATTACCGAAGTTTATCGGGCTTGGAGAGTGGCCAGGCCGATATCTTTCAGACGCCGCAATACTTGGCAAGAATGCAGGAAGGAACTAATGGTCTCCTGCAAACTCCCCTCCCCTTTCTCCCCTCTTTTATTCCCTCTGCTGGTTTATTTATGTGTATTTATTTATTTATTTATTGCCCCCCACCACCAAAATCGACCAACCAAGCAATACTTCCAAGTAACAATCCCCTTCCGAGAACCAAATAATTTGCTTTTGACCATGGGAGATGTCTTATTTTTATTTTTTTCATTTTAGAACCGTATCATTGTCTTAGCTTTCCTGAATGTCCAAATATGGAACAGAATACTGTATAACAGAGTTGGAAGGGGCCTTGGAGGTCTTCTAGTCCAACCCTCTATTCAGGCAGGAAACCCTATTCCATTTCAGACAAATGGTTATCCAACATCTTTTTAAAAACGTCCAGTGTTGGAACATTCACAACTTCTGGAGGCCAGTTGTTCCACTGGTTAATTGTTCTCACTGTCAGGAAATTCCTCCTTAGTTCTAAGCTGCTTCTCTCCTTGATTAGTTTCCACCCATTGCTTCTTGTCCTGCCTTCTGGTGCTTCGGAGAATAGCTTGACTCCCTCTCCTTTGGGGCAGCCCCTGAGATATTGGAAGACTGCTATCATGTCTCCCCTTGTCCTTCTTTTCATTAAATTAGACCTATCCAGTTCCTGCAACCGTTCTTCCTATGTTTCAGCCTCCAGTCTCCTAATTATCTTGGTTGCTCTTCTCTGCACTCTTTCTAGAGTCTCAACAGGTTGTCAGTTTCCCTCCTTCCCGTGCAACGTCTATTCTGAGATTAGAGTGAAGCAGGTCTAGGAAGGGATTTCCAACCTCTGGATGTGGTGATCTCCAGATTGCAACCCTTCCTGGAGTGGATCCTCCACTCCGCCTTCGATCTCCTACCTCCTTTGCCCACCAAGGTTCCATGATCCAGATTCCCCCGGCCTTCGCCCAATTGCCTTATATTTTCTCATTGGACGGAGTAGTTAAATCCATCTTGGGCAGGGTAGCTATATAGAAGCAAACCCTTTGGATTGTTTCACCTGCCCCACTCTTCCCAGGGGGCCTGGTCTCTGCTAGGTTAAAAACCTCTCATCCTTGGCTGGTGGGAAACGAACTGCTGGATTTCTAGATTGAGTAGAAGAGCGTCGATTGGGTTGGGTTTGAAGGTTCACCCTACATGAAATACGGTGGGAAAAGGAAGCAAGTCAGGCCACTAGCTGATCGATGCAGATATTCCTTTTCTGAGGACACAGCTGTCCATTCCCCACGTCTTCCCAAAAACGGCCAGTCGGCAAGGCGAGGACCGGCGCACAACGAAACGTCGAACCTGCCGTTGCGTCCCGAACCCATTCTAATTTCTAACCGGCTTGCGGGTCAGTGGCGCTGAACCAGGCACATCCCTTCCCCTTGCTGAAGGATCCAGCTGGGGACGATGGGAGCTGGAATACACAGCCCCTTTGGGAAAGGGGCCCAACCTTCAGAAAAGTCCCAGGGAGAAAGAAGCTGGGATGAGGGACGGAGGGAAGGGCGCAACAAGCTCCGTAGGGTTGCCAAGACTGGGGCAGAAATAGACTCAGTGGCGTTTGGAATTTCTTTTGAATGTAGCATTTCTTCGTCAGTGTTTATGCGCTTTATTCGCTGAGAAGGACGCGTGTGTTTGCTGGAGACGATGAGGCACTTGCGTTTCTGCTTTGGTGAAAATCATCCCGCCCCCCTCATTCTCTCGGCCAGCCCCTCTTCGTTTCCCAAAAGAGCATTTTTATTTTGCGTTTTGTTTTCATTTCGGGAAAAGCAGGGTGTACTCTTGCTGCTGCAAAATCTGGCCGGGAGGAGAGCCAGGATGCTTGTTGTGAATTTAGCCGAATGATTCTTTACGTGTCGCTCCCATTCTGCCGTGCGGTGTGTTCTCTTCTGCCTCGAGAGTTGTGCACCGCTGACAATTGTTCAATCAAAGGTCTTCCAGGCAGGCTAGGTTGAGAAGATTCGAGTGCACACATAGGAAGCTTTGAAACACTGTTATAACCATTTCCACTCTAGATTTGTAGCTCTTGGTTGCGCTGTGGGGGTGTTTCGGTGCTTTCTGAGCGTGGCGGTTTTGCGCGCAGGCGTTTCGTGACCCAGCTAGGTAACATCATCAGTGCAAACCCCAACCCCCCTTCTAAGCACTGATGATGTAACCTAGCTGGGTCACGAAACGCCTGCGAGCAAAACAACCAAGCTCGGAGAACACCAAAGACTTCACCAGGTCAACTCGTCTTCAATTTTGTTTCTTTTTGTGCCTTTTGAGTCGGTCTTGACTCCTGAAAACTACCCGGAGGAGTCCGGGTAGTTTTCCTCGGCAAAATGTCAGAACTGGGTTGCCCCCCACTTCTTCCCAGGGCTGAGAGAGAGAGAGAGAGTAACTGGCCCAAAATCACCCAGTTGGCTTGGCATCTAAGGCAGTCTAGAACTCCCGGCCTCCTGGTTTTTCTAGCCTGATGCCTTACCCTCTGCCCCAAAACTGGGTCTCCGTTGCTGGTGCTCAGCACTTTGACCGCAAATTTGCCACGCTTTTTTTAACGCTTCCAAAAAAAAGAGGCGCCCTTGTGGTGCCTCCAATTTAAATGTTGCCTTGAAGCCGAGTCTCCCAATGGAAAAAAAAGTGCCCCCCCCTGAACTGGGAAACCTGCTAATCCTCCCCCCTACCATTTTCATGGTGAAAAATGGTGCTGTATTTGTGTAATAAGGTGGCTCAGTCGCTAAGAGGCTAAGCGTGTCGATCAGAAAGCTTGGCAGTTCGGCGGTTCGAATCCCTAGCGCTGCGTAACGGAGTGAGCTCCCGTGACTTGTCCCAGCTTCTGCCAGCCTAGCAGTTTGAAAGCGCGTAAAAATGCAAGTAGAAAAATAGGGACCCCCTTTGATGGGAAGGGAACAGCGTTCCGTGCACCTTCGGCGCCGGCCACGTGACCACGGAGACGTCTTCGGACAGCGCTGGCTCTTCAGCTTTGAAACGGAGATGAGCATCGCCCCCCCCCTAGAGTGAGGAGCGACTAGCATGTATGTGCGAGGGGCCTTTATCTATTTGTGTGATGGTTTGTGATGCCCCTTTTGAAATTGCAGCGATAGTAGAATTCATCCATCCAGTATTGGGGGGTTGTTTTTTCCCCGCCAAAGGCAATTGTGGAAAAATCACAGAAACCAAACGTAGAGAAGGAAAACTGATTAA